CCCCCAAGCTTGTTTAACTCTGGTGTTTTCCGTCCTGTGGTCAGTGACTGCAGAACTTCAGTTTGTGTTTGCTCTGCCCCTTGCCATGGCGTTATTGCCTTTTAGCTGTCCTGTACGGGGATGGAGCTGCCTGTCCTCTCCCTGTCCTGTTGCAAAAGCCCCAAACTGAACAATCTTGCACATTCTTCATTGGCTTAAGTGGGGTTTTTTTTTTCAATCTTAAACCTTTTTATTATTATTATTTCACAGTCCTTAAACAGAAAAGGTTTGGTTTAGAATATCATTATGTCTTTAGGAAAAAAATTGTCCTTGCTTGCATTTCTTGCAGGAATTTATGACAAAAGTTGGTTCCCAACTCATTTCCAGGCATTTTGCCTTACCTCTGCTTAAATTAAGGCTGTGTCTGTGTGTGACTTTTACCATTTCTCTGCAATATTTGCAGCTTCAGTACAGTAGCAGCTTGTCTGGCTTATAACCCGAGGCTGTAAGTGCACCCGAACAGTTAAACTGAGATGTTTGAGAGAAGAGCAAAACCACAGAAAGCAAATGCTGAATTATATCAGCAAAACTCTTGCACGCTTAAGCATGTGTGGGCTAAGTACAAGATAAGGGTTTTAACTAACTTTTATTTTGACATTCTCCTTCTAATAAGCGTTGCTCCTTACAAAGCGGTTTATGTGATTGCGTTACTGAGAGGAAACAAAGAAATGCCAGGAAAACTTGATGTGGAGAATCTGTACTCATAAAATGCTTGTAAGCTCCAGCAAACAGGAAAGCTTCCCCCATCCCCTTTTTTTAATTTTTTTTTTTTTTTTTAACTCCCTGCCATTCAGCTTGCAAAAAAAAGAACCAACAAAACATGTTAAATATCTCAGAAAACTGGATCTGGTGGTCTGAGACTAAACACAAATTCCTTCCACTGCCACTGTGAACAAGCCTCTTCGTCCTGCATTCACCAAGCATGAGCTCTCGCTCTTTGTGGTTAAGAGCCAGTTGGCCTCGGAAAATAGTTTTTTTAACTCCTGGGGATGCCAAGGAATACAGATTTGATGGGCAGATGGCTTTGGCTGGCAGGGTTGGAGGCTGTTTAGCCACTGACCATTGAAATGTATTTGTGAATGGCCGCTTCCTTCATCTGAACGTGTTTAGCCTAGCGGTGCAGATGATGAAAATAAAATTAATTGCGATGTGACAGGTTTAAAATAAGCACTGCTATTTATCTGAATGGGGGTGGGAGATTGGGCTAAGGGATGAGGCTGAGCAGGGGGATTATAAGGGATGCAGACCGATGTGCTCACCACAGCACTCAGAAGGGAGAGTGCTGGGGAGATGTCCCTGGCGAACCTCCAGCACTGCTCCCAGCAGCCTGTTAAGGAGCTGAGCATTAGAGCATCCCATGTGCTCTCCGAGCGGATACTGAGCGTCAAAAAGGCAGCGGGCAGTCAGGGAGCTGCTGTGGTGCTGTGGACTAGCCCAGAAAGGTCCCAAGCAAAGGCAACCAACACTGGGACCATCCCCATCTTAACTGCATCCTTGATGCATGCCGGCTCAGCCTTCTGTGCTGGGGAGAGCCATGCTGCAGCCCGCATGGAATTCTGAAGTGTCTGAGGCTACCAAGGCATTTCTTCCATTCAACCATTGTTTTTTTGGGGGACCAGCCATCTTGGCTACCAGTTATGGCCAGCACACAGGGGCTTGCTCACCCCATCTAAGCCACTGTAGTGTCTCAAGCAAACCATCTGTGGGCAATTCCTCCTCTTTGTGCCTGTGGAATTTCCATGTTATCCTCATGGAGCCACATGCGCCCAGCCTCCTATCCAGAGGTCATGGTCCTGGCTCCCCATGCTACGGGATCCAAGTGTGGTCCTCAGTTTCTTCATCCATGAACACATCCCATCCTAGTGTAGCAGTTATGAGAGACATGCATGAAGAAAGGCCAAACAAAACTACTTGATGTGGTCCTTCTTTTATTCAGTTCTTTGCGTTTTAGCCTTTTTTTTCCCCACTTAGAAATTTGTGATACACTTAAAAAGGCGTGCAGCACACCGACGCAGCAGTGTGCCGTGTTGGTACAGCAGAGGTGGCAAGCAAGAGGAGCAAGTGATGCTGCAGGCCAGGTGTATCAGGAGCTCTCTAGGGCTTCAGAAAAAAATACTTCCCGATACTTCTTGCCTGCCTGACTTCCCGCTGCTGAGCTGGGACTAACAAGGTCTTCCCTGAGTTTAGTGTGTAGGCAAGACAGAAAACAAGAAACCTGGGAAAGATTTTCCTGGGAACCAAAGGCGTGTTATCTAACTGTTCATGAAAACGTTCAGCTGAAATATCTCTGTTACTGATAGAGATTTAGAGTCGTGAGTTGTTACTAGGTTGTGTTAGATGCCAAGAACTTGTCTCCCCTTTTGGGGCAGGGAGACCCACAGAGCCCACCCACCAAGGACCAGGCTTTTTGGTGAGATAGAAGATGTGTTGACCGCACAGGCTCATGCAGGAAAGGGTGTACTAATGACTTCCTTTGACTTTCCAGGAGACAGCAGAGACTTCCCAGTGGGAACAAGCCTCAGCAGCACGCAGATCATCAGCAAGGTGGCACCAAACACAACAGGGACCACCAGAAACTCTACCAAGGAGGCCAGGCCCCTCACTCCTCAGGCAGGACAGGCCACCACGGCTACAGCCAGAACCGGAGATGGCACCACAACCAGAAGCACTCACCCAACGACAAAGAAACGCACAGAAACGCCAAAGAGACTGAGAATTTGAAAATCGAGGACACCTCCGCCTGCACAGTGCATAGTCCCGCAGAGACGCACCGAGGCCCAGAGCCTTTGGAGAAGCAGTCTCAGCAATACATCCAGGAGTCAGAGACCAAGCGGAAAGACAGTATTCATGAGCGCATTGGGGAAAGACCCAAGATCAATTTGCTTCAGTCTTCCAAAGACAGACTGCGGAGGAGACTAAAAGAAAAGGTATTACTTCTTAGGGAAACGTTCAGTTTCCCTTTTTCTGAAAGTCTGGCCGTTGGCCATTCTCCATACAAAGGGTGGGGTGGGCTCAAGGGACCTTTCCATGAATGCACCCAACTTGGCTTAACCTCCCAGTGTCAACACTTCTCTTGAAGTGTCTTTGTGCTCCTTCAGGAGGCCTTTTGTTGACACAGTGCTGAGGCGCTTAGCTTGACTCCTTGGTTGAGGTTGATACTAGCTTAGTTCTCTGAGAAGGACTGGGAACTCTCCCCACACCCACGCAAAGACCCGTGGGGAAGGCTGGTGCACATGTGAGCTGTAATGTGGGCAATCCTTCCCTGACAGCTGATGCCAGCCTACAGCCTTCTGGTCTGCAGAGCTCATCCAACTTTGCAAAGAGGTCTAAAAAGTCAATTTGTCTCTCTGCAATTACAGAGATAAATCTCAAGCTTCAACTTCTGAGCTGGAGTCTGCTACTTGAAAGTTGATATCCATTTATCTCAGCAGTGAATTGAAACACCCTTTCCCCCTTCCTTCCAACAACCCAACAATAGCAAAACTATTGCATGCGAGTGATGGAGGAGAAATCCTGCTGGGAAACAATATTCAGCCTCAGATTTCTGAGGAATTCGGAGTTGATATGTTCATTTGCCCCCTGTGAAACACAGATTCTTTCTCTTGAGATTCTTTCATCAGACTGAAAAATGCAGCCTTGGGGGTATCTGTAATAAGATTTCCAAAGCAAGTAGCAAAAATAACCTGAACATATACAATTCCATGGGAGTGCATATTGGAAATGTACACTTTTGAATGCATGTGCATTTACTATTTATGTATAGGGTATGAGGGGGAGGAGTAGATTTTGTTAGTTATTTTTATGTTCTTTAAAGCAATAGGACTATAGCAGGGACTTTCAGAGTATTCATTTTAATGCTCTTACTGCAAATGTGTAGCCTTATAAGAAAGACATGACATAAGGACCCACTCTTGGGTGGGTGTAGTCAACACAACTCCTGGTGGAAGTTTTGGACAGCTCCAAGTGCCAGTTGGCATTGGGGTTGTCTGAAAAATTACAGGTTTGTATTGTATAGCACGTTTAAAGACTGAACTAAAGGATGAGAAGGGAGCAGACCATAGCAAGCAGGATGCATGCCTTACACTGGGGGAAAGGGACAAATGCATAATTGAATGTCTAAAAGAAGCAATAAATTCTATGGTAATGACACAAAATAAGTGTAACAGTCAAGAGATGGAAAAGTTAAGAATTTTTCTAACGCCAGGATCATGTGACATCTTTAATCTCAATTTAGATCATTAAACAGATATTAAAGAGTAGATATTTTTGTAAGATTGTTATCTCAACATTTTGCAAACATCGGTGCACTTTCAAAACAGAGGCAAAGAAATGTCCATTATCACCATGTTGCAGGCAACCCCAGAAACCTATCCAAGATCATCAGGGGTGATCAGTTCTTGGCATCCCAGCTCAGAGCAGATCTTCTCCCTGAGCTGACAGGGAGGACTCTGGGATGCAGTGCAGTGGGAAATAAAATTAACATTTCTGGGGCAGGACTCAAATCACTTGTGGTTTTCGGTGCTAAGACCATTGTGCCTCTAAAAGATGCTTTGTTTTTTCTATGTCTGTTTATATGTCTCCCCCAATCCCCTTCCCCTTTGCTGTTTGTGGAAGGACAAGGGCTGATATGTCTGTTTTTTCCTTGTGTAACAGACGCCTTGTCTTTCCCTTTTCACGGACCAGGACGAAGTCACGGTGGAAACCACCAATCCTGAAAAGAACAAAATGGACAAATTAATTGAAATCCTCAACAGCATGAGGAACAACAGCAGTGATGTTGACTCTAAGCTCACCACCTTCATGGAGGAGGCCCAGAACTCTACCAACTCCGAGGAGATGCTGGGGGAAATAGTCAAGACCATCTACCAGAAGGCGGTGACAGACCGCAGCTTTGCTTCCACAGCAGCCAAGCTCTGTGACAAAATGGCCCTCTTCATGGTGGAAGGAACCAAATTCCGGAGTCTGCTCCTCAACATGTTGCAGGTAATGAGATAAATTATGAGCTGTATGCACAAATGTGGTATCTCACACCAGGGCTCTTCTGTGAAATGGGTAGGCTGCTCGTGGCAGCATCCCCATGGCATGAAGAGAAGTGGGCTTGGAGGGTCTTACAGTGGAGGGTCTTTGCTGCTCTTTTTGGCTGACGTCCGTCTCAGCACCACTGATATCAGGTTAAATTGTGGTCCCTGAGTAGTCTGTTGGCTGCATTACCTGGCTGAAGGGCTGGCTTCTGGTTTCTGATTGCAACCCAGACAGAAGTAATTTGTGTATTTGCGAATTATTCTCGGTGACTTGTTTATTGGTATACGCAGCACTGGTTGCTTGTTCTGCTCCAAAACTGTCAGCGACAGCAAAGTTTGGGGGGAGAAAAAAGCACTTCCTCTGATAACAGGTCCATGATAATGGTGGATGATGGGGAAACAGGACTGTCCTCAGCTGCCCAGGGTCTGCTGGGGGGAGCATGTTTTACTGTAGTGCCACCATCAAAGGAGGGGTTGCTTTCTGGGGAGGGTGTCCCATGGACCTCTGTCTTTCTGCCTCTCTGGAGACAGGCCATGTAGAGCTGAAACCATGAATTTCCAATCTTAATTTAATACGTGTTTCCATTTTGCCTTTCCCTCACACACACGTGTCATCTGTGGCATATTCAAATATTTAATTTCTCTGTTCTCTGCTCATGTTCGGTGCCCAACATCACTCCAGTTCTTGACACAGCTTCTTGCCCTTCTTGCTCTTGTTGGAGGTCATCCCTTGGGTGCTGTGCCTGGCTGCCTGAATCTTATGTGGGCTGAGTTGGCTTTTGGGCAACGCAGCAAGGAGGGAAATAAGGAGGAAAAAAAAAATCAATATTTAACATAACCTAAAATAATTCTGCAAAGCCATTGGTTTGGTTTTGCTTCTCTCGTTGCTCTGGGTGCTTTTCAAAACCATCATCCCTCCCTGTGCCCGCTCCTTCTCTGCTCTCCCCTGCAAAGCCCTCAGGCAGCACACACACACATCTGCCCATTGCGTGTAGCAGGCAGTGATTTTTTTCCAATCAGTAAATTTCCAAAGTGATTATAAAGCAGGAGAAGACAGATTGCAGTCAGCGTCAGTCCCAGACTTAGCAGCAAGGAGCGGGAGGGTGTTCTAAACCTCCTGTGCCTCCCATTTTTCCCAGGCCAGGTCACTCTTGTGTCTTCCCCTGTTGGGCTGAGCGATGTTAAGAAGTCCTAAATAAAGTCCAGGAGTCATGGCCAGGGGTAGCAAGGTGTTATCCAAAAATTGAGGATGATGGCAGTCCTTCTAGATTAGGGAGAACTCTTCCAACTTGCTTTCTTCTCTTGTCCCAGCATTTCTACCTCTACCAACAGGCCCAGTAGACTGATCTGTACCACAGCATCATGCGCAGTAATAACTGGCTTCATATTCAGCTCTTC